AAGGCTATGGTTGGGATATTGCCTCTGCGTTACCAAATACCCAAGATGATTGGTTGAGGAGCAGGGATGGGTTGAGTTTAATTGAAAGGGCAAAAACATTGGTGGATGCTAAGCGAACAAAGCGTCAAAAAATTACAACCACTCCAAAAATTCAAGGAAATACACAATGGAAAAACCAATCAGCTGATCAATACCAATTTAGTTCCTTGTATGGGAAGCGCGACATAGCAGGGTTTTTTCGGCCAAACACATTACAGCAGAATAGATCTTCATCCACAATCAAATGTTATATCTGTGACGGATATGGTCATTTCGCAAACTCCTGTCCCTCAGACCCAATCAGAACTTCTGGACAATATCGTAATTCCCAGTTCGGTTATAAGTCATGGGGATATTCAGCATATAAAAGGAAGTTTGACAAGTTGCAAGAGGCAGAAAAACAGGAGTGACTACACTCGGGCCCCCCAAAGGTTTCAGTAGTGGGTTGCCTACACCTAAAGAAACATATAGAGTATTGGGAGAAAAAGATCCAGGTCCTATATTTAATTTTAGAATGGCTAAAAGAAGGTATTCCACTATTTCCAAGAAGCCTTCTTTCACTGTCTTTACAATCAGACCCTGTTCAGTACCGATTTACAGAAAGTTAGCAAACTTGGTTGGAAGCAGAATTAAAAAGACTTATGGAGGAGGAGGCAATTGTGCTAGTTTCGACAGGGGAAAAACGACCAGCACATTTACTAGAAGTAAGCCCAGTTTTCTTAATACCCAAACAGGGACCAAGAAAATGGTGTTTAATTATAGATCTCAGACGCCTGAATGCGACATTACCAGAAAAAAGTTTCAAGTTCGAAGGGTTCAAAACCTTCTTGTGCATGATTGGTCGAAACTGGTGGATAATTGTTCTAGACCTAAAGGACAGTTATCATCATATACTAATGAACAAACAGGCACAGCAATTGCTTGGCTTTCGAATAGGAAAAAACTGGTATCATTATCGGGTTCTTTCTTTTGGTTTAAGTCACTCAGTATGGGTGTTTTCAAAAATTATGAGAGCACTCATAGGCCATTGGCGAACAAATGGTATTTTTTGTGGCAATCACGTAGACAACATATAGATTGCACACTCAAATCAAACAACCTTATTGGAAATCAGAAACTCAGTCATACTTTCAGATTTAAAGAATTGTGGGTTTATCTTTGCAGACAAAGGAAGCCTGGAGGCAGCACAAGAAGCAAAGTTTGTGGAATGATTATAAATATGGTAACAGGAAATGTAATGGCCCCAGAAAAAAAAGATAAACGAAATATTATACAGCCTACATGCTCTTTTGAGAGAAACACCTGTAACAGCCTGTCAATTGTCTTCAGTAACAGGAAAGTTAATAAGTCTAAACCAAGCTTTTGTTTATGCAAAGGTGAGGTGTTTAGAACTTTATTCAATCATAGATGCAGAACATCGGGAAATTTAAGATTGGGACAAACCTATTCGATTAACACCTCAAGCAATAAACGATATAAACTGGGTAATAAAATTCTTGAAAGAAAAAAATGGAAAGCAGGCATGGAAACCTTCCCGAGTAGCATCCTTGTTTGTCGATGCATCTACAATAGGCTGGGCAGCCACTTTGGGGACAAAGCAGGCATTTGGAAATTGGATCAATATTCACAAACATACAGATATAGCATATCTCGAATCAATGGCGACATTGCTGGGACTCGAAGCCTTTGCACATATGCTAACAGATCAGTGGATGACAGTGTTTATAGACAATCGAGTTGTGCGGAAAACAATAGAAGCTGGGGGCAAAAGACCTTGGCAAAAGGATATAATGCATGAGGTGTGGAATCTTTGCAGTCAACACAACATCAATATTCACGAATTTCAATGGATTCCATCTCATCTAAATTTGGCCGACGAACTGACAAGATTTGTGGACAAATCAGATTGGATGCTGGCTCCAACTGTATTCGATATGATAAACAAAATGTGGGGACCTTTTACCATCGACAGAATGGCAAGTTATCAAACATGAAAAGTGAGGTGGTTCAACAGTCGTTTCTTTTGTCCAGAGTCAGAAGCAACAGACTGTTTTACCCAAAATTGGAGTCAAGAAAACAATTATGTTTGTCCCCCATTAAACCTAATACACAGAGTATTCGAGCAAGCAATAGAATGCAAGACCAGGACAACTATAATTATTCCAGTCTGGTCAACAGCCCCCTGGTGGCCACTTTTACTACAACAAAGAAGAGAAACAATAGATCTTCTTTCACTAGTTCAAAGTTTCTTACCTTACCCAGGAAGGAACCATTTTCTAAAACCATGGAAAAATCCTCTTTGGAGATTCCAAGCAATAACTCTTCTTTTTTAATGGATCTGTTGGTTAAAGCTCATGAAACTTTAGAATTAAAGACCCCTTATGAAAAACGGCTTTGTTTACTGTGGGAGGAATTTGCAACCTTTTGCAAGATTCATAGTTTAGCTGCTTGTCCAGCTTTACCAAGTTCAATTTTAATGTTTTTAATTTGGACAAACATATTATCTCAGTCTATAAAACCAAGAATGTACCTAACGACAATCAGACACCATCATCAAAAACAAAGACTTCCAAATCCTACTTCAAATTATAATATTCAGTGTCTTGTACAAAAATTAATGAAACAGGTAACAGTGAATCATGAACCAGCTTGGCCTTGTGATCCTTTGCCAGTACAGGTTTTAAGGAACTATATAACTAATCCTCCATACAAAACTAGTAAATTATTATGGAAACGTGACTGTGCCTTAGTTGCTTTGGGACTGTGCACAATGCGACGACCAAGTGAACTATGCAATATGCAAATTAGGGATATAAGATTCATAAATGGAATATGTTGGGTTCAGATATGCAGATCAAAAACAGACCAATTGGCACGTGGAAAATTTATTCCTATTGATCCTACAAACTCCCCCTACTGCCCAGTTCGCTTACTTTATAAATATCTTCAATTGAGAAAATTAGATAATAACCAAACTTTATTTGTAACAAGAGACGGAAAGCGGATGACAACAAGTAGTATAAGTACAGTTGTTAAAAAGGTTGCAGATAATGCAGGACTAAATGGTAGATTTTCTGGACATAGTCTGCGAATTGGTGGAGCAACAGAGGCCATGAGGGCAGGACTAACACTCCCACAAATTATGAGCATTGGTGGGTGGTTATCTCAGTCTGTAGCACTTTATTTACGATCAGTTATGACAACAACACAGGGTACTTCAACGCGAATGGGATTTTAAAAAAAAAAAAAAAAAAAAATAGAGAAGAGAAAATGAACTGTCAAACAGAATTAAACGATTCTCGGTACTGCTCCCATATGTGTTTCCTAATTACAATAAATAGAATTAGAGATCCGAGTGAGAATAATGACCTTACGTGATGAAAGTCACGTTAAGGTAATTATCACGAGGATCACCTGACCTTTGTATTCATGTGAGTTTGGTGTAACATATAATTAGGTATATAGGTAACCCAGTGGGTGTTGAGAGAGTTAGTGTTTTGTTTCTTCGTTGCCCGATTTCTATCTGGCTTTTAGTTGCCCACCCCGTCCCCCCCCCCAAAAAAAAAAAAAAAAAAAAAAAAGGAGGGGTGAAGGTAAACACTTTATTGAGATGTGGCAGACATATGCCATGCACTCAGATGCGTAAGGACTTGCTCATTGACTCAGTAAGATGCTTGATGACTTGCTCCTAACCTTTAAATTGTAGGGTGCCATAATTTATTATATAGTTGACTAAGTGTTTTAACATTTAGTTGATTTAGAAAGATGCATATATTTATACACACAGCTGCGGTATATCTTGCATGTACTCAGTACTCATCTTCCTCTTATTACCTAATAGTGAAATATATTTTATTAATCTTAGAGTAGTACCCAACCCTCGATTCTCGGCTAACCTTCGTCTCAGACAACTAGATAGTTGAGGCCAACACATAAGAATGTTATACAGGTAGCACTAATAATGTATAATAAAATAAAATCGGCACAAACGGAGGGCAGAGCACACTCCCCATATGTGTTTCCTAATTATAATAAATAGAATTAGAGATCCGAGTGAGAATAATATACATTTTTAAATTGAAACATGACTTGTGTTTAATTGGAAAATGACGCATAACATACAGTATACACAATTCAGATTAACACGCAAATGATAGATTAGTTTGACGCGAAAATTTAGTTTACGCCTATTCAAATCTGATACTCTTATTTTTTAATTAAAAATCCAAAAAGTAATTTCATGCCTAAACTTTTGATACACGTAAATGTTTTTATAATTTAAGCGTATTTGTCTCGTATCCAAATCTCCGTACGATGATATTATATAAGGGTAAATGAGCTCTACTAAAAGAAATATGACATCTGACTTTAAATTTCAATGCTGGGTCTTCAAAAGCTTGAAGTCTGGCTTTTCTAATAGTACTTAGATACAGATGAAAACTACCATTTGTTATTGCCTTTTTACACAAACCACGCATTGTTCATAACAGTCGCGATACAACAAAATACAATTGGTTACAATTTAGCTCTTTAAAGTTCAGATGCTTCGCGGTATGTAAGGCTAAGGTTTTGTCCTTTGTATTATGTAAAATAATTTCATCTAAAAACCATATACTCGACCGTCACGCAGAGGTACCTTTTATAATATAACATTAGAGTTGGTCAAAGTTTCTTCACGACCAACTTCACAGAATTGATTTTTTGAAGGTGACTCAAAGACTTGGGTAAATGGCATATTTTTCACTCATTGTGTGAAGTTATGCCCTTTGTTTGAATCATTTCGAGTATTTCACACTATTGCTATTGAGTGTGACATGTGGCTCGAGCCTTTAGGAGTCACACAGCCAATTAGAATCGAAATGTTTATAAAAAAAATTTTTTTTATGGTTTATTTTCGTCAAATTATTTAAGCGGCAAATTAGTCCGCTTAAGTAGATGGTTTAAGGGATAATAAAAAACTAAGAAACGAACTAATGATATAAAATATAACTGCTTATTATCGTGGTATAAAATACTTATTGATTTGAATATCAAACATCAATTACTTGATTGTAACTTGGAATGATTTAATGTTTTATTATAAATGATTGATTGTACAAAATATACTTTAAAAAAATAGAATTTATATGAAGCCTCTAGTATTAATTAGAAAATACTGAATCACCAGTATACACAATAAAATTCAATACTTAAAAAGACATAAAAAGACATATCACCTCAATTATTACTTTTAAAACTAACCAAAAATCAAACATACCCATTCTTCTTATACCGAGGTATATAAAAATATTATAGCACAAGTATAATGATCTTGGACGTAGTCCTTTCTCATGATATATAAAATATACAACCTATGTACGATCAATTGTTAACTGACCAAATAATAATTAATGCAGATAAGATTCATAATACCTATTTGTTACTATGACTTACTCCGGATCTTTGTCATCTCCTTTTAGTCAGAGCGTCTCTCATGTATTATTCATCAATAATCAACTCATTCAATTCGCTATCTGTTAAGAAAATTATAATTTATGTTAATTAAATTATGCCATCCAATCTATTCAGTTACTAAATTTGGTTACAGGGTTGCAAACAGTTTATACATTAAAATTTTGTCGTTTTTTAAAATTTTGAGCAATATTTAGACATTCGCATAACTATTTCGATAAAATATAATTAAATTCTACATATTTGTAAAATTTAAATTAAATCTTTCATCAATTATATAATTATCAGGATAACTTTGCGCAAAAATTTTTATATTAGTGGAAGAAAAACTATCCTTAATTGATGAGTAAATTTAGTTTATTAAAATGTAGTCAATAATTACCTTGATAAACCGGCGTAGTATAATAAATAAATTTGCTTTTATAAATGTCATCAGAATATGTTTGTAGTTGTATACTTTGGGTATCTTTTAATACTTCTTCCGACTTAGTAAATTCCAATAAAATTTTTTCATCATCTTGCCAATCTGTAAGGATTTTACAAATTTCTGCGGCTAATGGGCGGTTTTCTGATTCTTTATCCCAACATCTCTTCATTAAGTTTATATAACATTGTGGAGTATCGTTAACAATTGTTGGTCTTAAATCTCTACAGCATATTTCAAATTGAAGCTGTGATCCAAACTCCTGATTATAAGATACTGATCTTCCATATAAAATTTCCCACATAATAATGCCAAATGAATAAATATCTGATGCTGGTGAATATTGACCTCTATTCAAACTTTCTGGTGCAATATATGGTAAAATCCCATAAACTCCACGTTTCTCTGTATTTGACGTTATTGACGTTGAAAGTCCTAAATCTGCAATGTACGCACTATGTAAATTATCTTGTAAAATATTACCACTATGTAAATCGCGATGAATAAGTCCTTGAGAATGAATTATTTGAAGATCAGAAGCAATACAATGCAATAAAGTTAATTTATCTTTCCATTTTATTTTTGATATTGAATTAAGATTTTGACGCAAAGAACCCATTTTTGCATAGTCTAAAACAATGATATAATCTTCTGAAATATCATCTTTTGATATTCCACGGCATCTTAAAAATGATGGGTGTCTAGAATTAATTTCACAAAATGCCTTTAACTTTAATATTAAAAGACAAAATAATTGAGATCTTCAAATAATAATTATTAAAATTAGTTAAAATCAGTATGCATGGAATAAAAATTACCTCTTTAATGAACTCTTCATTACAAGATTTTGATCCGTGAAGTAATTTAAGTGCAACAGTTATACTGATGTGTCGTTGTTGGTCAACCCATCCAGCATGATATACTGTTGCAAATCCGCCCCGTCCTATCATTTTAATGTCTTTAAATTCTTTATAAGAAATCCATGAAAACGGATAGTTTCCCTCAGCTAATAATTGTTTTATATCATCATCAATATCAAAATTTTCTTGCATCCATTCATTCGAGTCTAAAAATATCATTTAGTAAATCTCAAATTATTTCAAAAATGAATTGAATAATAATAATTTACTATACATAATCTCTTGTCTTTTTCCCTAATTATTATTTATAAAAGTATGTTATAGAATCGTAATTATCTATAAAAAAAATAAACAAATAGATTATTTACATTTTATACCAATAATCAGCTTTCTGTAAGTTTCTTGGTGTTCCAATCCCATTTCTATAACAATAAGCAACTTCTGACATTCCATTAAGATGGCCCATATCTGCAGACTTTTGATAGTAAGTAAATGCCTCATGTTCATCCTTTTTAATCCCTATCCCATTAATATAACAATGTCCAATTTGATTTATTGCGACAACACATCTCATTTCAGCAGATTTTTGATAATGAATAAATGCCTTATGGTTATCCTCTTCAACTCCTATTCCATGATTGTAACAATATCCAACTTGATATATTGCACTCGCGTTTCCCATTTCAGCAGATTTTTGATAATGAATAAATGCCTTATTTTCATCCTTTTCAACTCCTATTCCGTGGCGGTAACAATATCCAACATTACTTATTGCATCCGAATTTCCCATTTCAGCAGATTTTTGATAATGAATAAATGCCTCATTTTCATCCTTTTCAACTCCTATTCCATGTTGATAACAATATCCAACTTGACTTATCGCACTCGCATTTCCCATTTCAGTAGATTTTTGATAATGAATAAATGCCTTATTTTCATCCTTTTCAACTCCTATTCCATGTTGATAACAATATCCAACTTGACTTATTGCATCAGCATCTCCCATTTCAGCAGATTTTTGATAATGAATAAATGTCTTATTTTCATCCTTTTCAACTCCTATTCTATGGTGATAACAATATCCAACTTGATATATTGCATCAGCATCCCCCATTTCAGCAGATTTTTGATAATGAATAAATGCCTTATTTTCATCCTTTTCAACTCCTATTCCATGTTGGTAATTGTATCCAAGTTCATTGATTACATTAGCGTCTTCCAAATCATTTTTTTTATTATTAAATATTTTGTAAATCTTTTTCATTTTGCTTTTGAATGCAACTAAAGAAAATGGTACGATTATGAAATTTGGATTTGCACATAATTTGTAATTGGTAGTGTATTGTTATTTGAGTAACCCGAGTGCAGTAAACACATGCATCACGTTAGTGTAGTATTTTGCAGCTTTTTTTTTAATGCTAGAGTAAGGTTTAGAATAAAGATATTTTTTACAATTTTAATTATTTAATATATTTTATCTATTTTACATCCTTCCGGCCGTTTAATTTTAATATAGCGTGAAAAAATAGAAGTTTTATTATATTGACAGCATCTGATTTCAGATAAAACAAGTGACGTATTTACGTTGAAATATGTGATACATAAATCCTAAATGTTTTTAACGTATAGATAGTCATTTACCAGTACAGCAGTAGATACTTGTCAAATTTTATTAATGTGCCTGAATTTTAAAAATAAAAGTAGTATATTTGATAGATGTGAATAAGTTTTTATGAATCGAATCACGATAATTCATTGACTCAGTAAATAATCATTGAAAAATTGAGAACCATCACTTTAAATGCTTGATACAATCATCAGCCATAATGAATTTTAAAGAATAGGATATTTGTTCTTATTTATTTTAATAGTTCTCTTTAATCTGTAATGAATGCAAATAAAATCGAGCGTAATGTACTAGAAATCCTAGCAAAATTGAGTACATTAAAGTAATTTGCTATTTGTTCAACAATTTCTTTTTCTGAGTAAATAATCCCACTTCTGACATCTATGTATCTAAATTTGTATAGTATGTATAGTTGTATACAGTGCGTGAAATTAAATATTCTTAAAATTCTCAATGTTCTTTGAGAACGCAAAAATTTTAGGTTACATGAGTAGCGTATTTTGAAATTAAATGAGAGTTTGAAATTTGTAATTCAAAATTTTAAAAATAGGAAAATAAATAAAGTTGATACATCACTCATTTGAAAATAAATCAGAAATCTGGTTGTATAGTGTTTAGCGTATGTAATATACAAGAAAATTATTAATTGGTGAATGTTTATCATGAATTACCAACATAGAATAACTTGAGTACGTACGTACAGTACGTGCATACAGTACGGAAACGCAAATTGGGACGAAAATCATGATAGTACGTACAGTTTGTAAAAGAAAAAATTCTTTTGGATCAATGTCGATTACCCTATAACTTACACGAAAAAACAAAGCTCGCACTTGAACATTAAAAAAGGGTTTACTTGTAAAAGATTTTTCATCTGGCATGAGGATGTGATGAATCATCTGTGTGGCAAGTAAACATTAGCTAAATAATTATATTAAATACAGTAATGCTTATTACCACACCCGATGATTCGTTACATCCATGTGCCAAATGGAGAATAGACTTATAAAAATTAATTTTACAAGCCAATTTACATCCCTAATACAACCTGTTACTCTATAATGCATGTTGTTTTAATAACTAATTATTTGAGCCGAGTCTATCAATACCTCAATCGGAAATCTTTACCATTCATTATTAGGGTTTAATGTAATACTTTTGTATTCAAAACAAAATAAGAAACTGGGTTAAACTTTATATTAGCACTAATATCTATAAAATTTGAACATCATTTATTTAACTTAAATTTTTATTTATAAATTTGAACATTTATTTAACTTAAATATTTATTTGTAATTGTGTTCATTTATTGAGATGTTTAAATTTACCTCTCCCCTGGCTTTGTGCTAAAAATTCTGTTGTTAAACCTGATGTTAAGATAGAAAAGATAGTCTAGGCAGTGATGCATTAGTGCGTTGACGATCAGACGGGTACTGTAAATTCTGATTCTAACAAGAAAAAGAAAATCTGACATAAGCCAATTACAAACGTTAAAATAATAATCTTAGTGATTAAAAAAAAAGGGCCCCACAAAAAGCAAATGATTAAACGACTCTGTCAGCGTTATACATAATTTGTCGCTAATTTGTCTGGTCAATAGCCGATATGCTTTATGTTCCACTAGTCAATTATAAAACAATTGTTATACATAGCGATAAGGTTGTATTATACGTAACGGTAAGTTTCGGTAGCAAGTAATTTTTGTAATTTTTTGAAGCGTAAGGTACCGACATTACCAGCTTTGTTAATTATATCGTCGAGAAATAACGCCCCGGTGCGTTATTTCGATATACGTTGTTTGAAAAGAATGCGTATCACAATTTTTTGTTATTACAAGTCTTTGGTTAAATTACTCTTCAAACAATGTGTCCCTAAATAACGCCCCGGGACGTTATTTCGCGATAATTCGGTACAGCATTTAAATGACGAAAAATTAATTTACGTAAAATTATCGTGCGTTCAAAGTTACGACTTATATTCATTACACTTTAAAAATTTTATAAAAGCTTTAATACGTACTGCGTACAACAAACAATTAGATCACGTGCCTCGGTTATTGTCGATACTCGTCTTTTGCGCTTACCTTATATATTAAGTCTGCATACAAGCCACAAAATTCAACAATAAAAGGCGCCTACGTATATCATTACTAATCACAATTGTATAACTATTAATACGTAATTACTGCGCACTTGATCATAACTGATAATAACTGCGTATAATAACTGCGCATAATAACTGCGTATAATCATCATATTGTATTCGAAATCAATATAATAGTCCTGCTAGGGTACGTACGCATCTTTGATTTAATAAATTTTTGATTTATTGCAAATATCTAGTTTAGAAAAAGTGAAAAAAACGAAAAGAGAAAAAATGGAAGCCAAAAAATTATTAGTAAGTTGCTAGTTTCTTTTTTTTTTTTGATTAAGAAGGGCATCTGCTAGTTTATCTAGTTCCTAATAAACTTTATTCATTCAATGTCTATGATTTTGAAAAAAAAATTTTTATAGTTAGTCGGCCTTGGTAATTATACCCACCCACAAACTAGACATAGTATAGGAATGTTGGTATTAAATTACATAGCATCACACTTAAATCTAACATGGAAAAAAAATAAAAATTGGCCTGCTACCGTTACCACCACTACAACTATATACGTTTATCCTTCTAGACGACATAAAATAAAACAAAAAAAGGAGAAGAAACAAGCAAAAAAAGATATAAATTCTAATGAAGAAAATGATGATATTGATGACAAAAATGATTTGGAGAATGGAAATCAAAAAAAGTTTGATGATAATTTTCGATCAGAAAAAGATAATGTAAATGTAGAACTTAAGAGTGATATTTCAAGGTTAACGATTGATGATGATTCAGATAATGACGATGAATTATCCTCAAATTTATCTTTTCAATTATCATCAATGCCCTCAACTACACCATCATCTGTATCATCATCAAGAGCTGTTTCACCAAAACCATCAAAAATGTTAGAATCATTTAGACCTAGACCTAGACCTGATCCAGTACCTTTGGAGCTAACATTGATGAAACCATTGTTACTGATGAATGTTAGTGGAAAATCGGTTTCTAAAGCAGGTATGTTTATATCAATGTTATACGTCGAAATCCATCCATTTGGATTCTAAATATATTTAAGTTGAAAAGAAAATTTTGGTTCAGTTGAGTGGTTGAAGAATTTTTGAATCAACACAAAGTTCTATACAGAAACTTGAATATCTTAATGCGCAGTAGCTATATAGTTGCTATTAGTAACTATATAGTTACTATACAGTTACTGCGCAGTTACTGTGCATTAAGAAATTCAAATTTCTGTAAAGTTGATTTCGAACCTCTTTAGTTGATAATTTTTAAACGATCGTGATTATAATTAATCATGCATGTGTCGGAGAAGCAATAAAATTTCACACGACACTTCTAAAATACCAAAATTTGTAATGTTTCAAGGGGAATCCGTAAATTACATCGGGGTTCTTACGAGTTTGATTCTCCAATAGTTCAGTAAGCATTTTTGCCTTGCTACTTTTTTTCACACATTTATAATTTTGATAGAATCTAATACCTAGAACTTGCCCATGTATTATAGGTGCATTAATTATTTATTTCCTGGGGGAAACCCTCTGCTATAATTCCCCCAGGTAATCCCCAGGAGTGTATCACTAGATGTTAATCGGACTGCCATACCATTATTTTTACACGTATTTGTATTCGTATAGTTCTTTACTATTTTTGAGCATTGCTTTACATTTTTCTTTATTTCACTTATCATTTATTTGTGTATTATATTTATTTACTTTGGCTTTTATTAAGATTTTTGCATAAAGCGTGAAAACTTAAAAAAAGAAAAAAATACAAATATACAGGAGATTCCTGATGATCAATATGAAGACCGGGAATCTTCCACGGGAAGATTCCCGGTCACAATAAGATTATTATAAATATGATCATTCACGTGTAAAAAATTATGCTGAAGGTAGTCATGATTCGCACTTAGTGCAACATGGGATCGTAGGGAAAATTTTAATTGCTCAATTCGAAAAATTATATTCGATCATATTAAACAAAAGAAGGTTGAGATTTGGTTATCCTTTAATGAATCAAGTTTTATTAATCATTGATGGAGTTAATTCTAAATCAATATATTATATAGAAAATATAGAATTCTCTTATCATTCAAGTTTAATCAAAATTTCATTACAACTTTTGTCGATTTAAATCGACAAAAATCTGATTTCGACGTACAACATCAACATTATTTTCAAATCAATCTATTTACGAGGGCTCTTTGTCTTTTTTTTTAATCATACGTAAATTTAATTATCTATTGTAGTTAAAGAATTAGGATTATCACCTAATGATATTATTGTAGTGCATGACGATATGCAACGAGATATAGGCAAAATTAGTATAAAGAACGGAGGGAGTGCAAAGTAAGTAAATTATTATTACAATATAATGATTTAGATTATCTTAAATTTTTTTTTATTAAAGATCATAATTTTTTAGTGGTCATAACGGAATCAAATCAGTCATTGATGCATTGAAAACAAATGTGAGTATTTTTAATTGCGAAGTGACGGTATCTTATTTCTTATATACTTTTCATTATTAATATCTAATATTAAATTTACTCTCATAATAGCAATTTCGTCGGATGAGGATTGGTATTGGTAGACCGCCAAAAGATATTGATGATAGATCTCATGAAGTTATTTCTAGTTATGTACTGGCACGAATAACTACTAAAGAGATGGAATATTATACTAATGAAGTATTTCCAAAATGTAAAGAACAATTACTTAAAATTTAGATAGATTTTGAGATTTCAAAGGTTAGATAGAAATCGCATCATTAGAATAAAATAAAATAAAAATCATTAAAGTACAAATTAAAAGTATTCTACTAATTTAAATAAATAAAAAAAGTCTGATTCTTGATCATTTGATCATTATTCATAACTGATTATTATTGTAATTTATTAATTTTTGCTCGTATCAACAAACGACACGGATTTTTTATTTATACGTGGTAGTTGAAGGCAAAAAAATGCCGCATTGTCGCAGGACAATACGATAATACCTCACTGATTCTTATGTATTAAAATATGACGCAATGCCGTAATACAATGTATTAATGCCGAAATTTGGTAAATGCAGAACCAAGTCTAAAACTTTCGTGGCAAATCATTGATCGTGGCTGGATGGTTGAATTGTTTTTAGAAATCGTACATACCGATACGTATAGTACCTCTGAAAGGGGGCACGAATTTAAAGTTTATTTATTTTTAAAGATTTTGAGGAGCAGAAATTTCAGACGCTTTTAGAGTGTTCGCACTATATCTACTAAAGCTAAACATTCGTTTCTTTGTAATCAGGCTTATGTTCTAATAATTTGGACATAATTTCGATGCGACGACGTATTGTACACTATAATAAACGTAAAGAAACTATTTCTCTGAGTTAAAATAATAATAAGAATAATAATCGAATTATTGGAAATAATTTCTAGTCGTTATTTCTATTTGCGTTTTTCAATTATTTGAAATTAAAGCGCGTCGTGCGTTTAACTAATCAACTATTAATCCGAACTTTTAACTATACTTCGTTCCACATTTTTAAGGTTTGTTTTTATATTAAACATTTGTCACGTACATATAATACATTTACATTAATTAATAATAATCAAATGTATTGTTATCACTTATTTATTGTTTAACAATGATGTGAATGATCAATATCTAATCAATTCCATTATCAATTCTATTACCTAAGAAAAAACGATCACCTAAGAAATGAAATTAATGCTAATAATGCTTTGATGAGTTTAGAACCAACTTTACGCTTAATAACGACTTATGAAATTACTTATAAACTCGTCTCGAAAAAATTTATCCCGCTTAAATTTTTATAAATTTGTTTATTAGAATCCCATACCAAAGTTATTCGTCGAACCTCTCTCTTAATATATATATATATATAAATGTATCGTCAAGCGTGTAGTAAACTTGAAACAATTTTTGAGAACGCAAGCGATGATGAAATTTCAACCACTTTTCAAAATCAATCTGAAATTAATCTTATTTCCGAAGTTAATTCCATACAATCATCCGATCACAATTGCAGTACTACTTCATCTGTAAATCGACATCAAAATAGCTTCGAAACCATTCACCAAACCAGAAAGACAGAAAGTAAACGTAATGCTATTGATATCAACTTATCACTTCCAATAACTCAAAAAGACGTGAATCAACGATACGCTACCAATGATATAAATCCTACACTTATTTCAACTTATACAAATACTTCAAATAATTTAGTTACAAACCCTCTTTATAATTTTAGTTCATCCACTTTATCCAATAATTCCGAACTTTATAATGAAAATGATTTTAAAAAAATTCCAAGTTGCCCTTCAATAATTTCTTTCAAAGTACATATTCATTGGATTTATCCTTCTACTCCTCTAATAATCAAATTATTTCGAGATATTTCATTTCGAAAATTTCGAAAAATTGTGGCAAAAAGTTGTGGAATCAAGATACCAAAAGATTGTATTATTATTTGGCATAGGAATTTAAATTGTGAAGGAATTAGTGTTGGTGAAGAAAATAATGATAAAGTGGTTTTAAAACATTTATTGAAATCAGGAAAGGTTAGTGGAATTAAAAATGATGCTATGTGGAAATGTGTAAAATCTTTTTGGTGTAATAATGTTGAACTTTCTTTTGTTAAGAAGGAATTATTAGAGTAATATATATATATTTTATCATATAACAGATATGAACTAAAATTATATACGTACGTTTCAAGTATATAATTAGCCCATGAAAATGTCCTGTTTTTTTCTTTTTTATTGCTTAACATCGGAATAAACATTTATGTTTATAGTGTCGCTTATCGTTAATAATTAGGAATTTACTAATTTCCCCCACCACTTCCGATTACTAATTATTCACATATCGGAATATCTGTTTTATAGCTCTTCGATAGTGAAGTGGTGGGAGAAATTAGGGCATCCAATAATTAGTTGGTTTATTATTTACTCCTGTTTCCATATGCAATAGGTTGCGCGTTAAATAAAAAATAAAATTTAGTTTTTGATGTTAAGGTTAAAATAATTAAGTTACGTCAATCTAATGTAAATAACTATAATATTAGTTATTGTATGGTTACGTTAATTACATCGTTTACAATAGTTAGTAGCTCTCTCTCAAAAAATTTTCCCCTCCTTGTGTAATGAACCCATCACGGGAAATTTTTTAATTAATTTTTTGTAATTAATATTTAAATCACGTGGTTGAAGACCACGTAGTTAAATATGAACCGTGTGTAATTAACTTACACATACATATACTATAATATACGGTAAGTACAATAAAGTAAAGTGTACCTATTGCCATGAATTTTCAAACTTATTAGCTTTTTAGCCGTAAAACCTTTAACCAAATATTGGAAACCTTCGTCAATTAACGGAATAACCCAAAGATATTTTGATGGAAAGAAATTATATAACAATTGATTAAATATTCTTAAACAATTCGAACCTTCAGTACAACCCGATATTCAAATATTGGACGATTTATACTTTAGATTATTCATAATAGTATAATTAAACAAGGCAGAACTAACTGAAATTTTTTATAAAGTAATTTGTACTGCACATCAAGAAAGGATATTATTGTCGTGTAAAATTTTTCAAAAAAAGTCAAGTCGAAATTTTCATCAAGTTGCTTGCAAATTTGGAATACTTGTCCATTGGTATCCAGCAGATAAATTCGAATCATTTAATATCTCAGATTATGTATTTAGGTCTTGTTGTTTTAGACAAGCGGGTGCCAAACAGATTTTTTCCATCGTCGAGAAACTGATTGATATGCGTGCATAAGTTTAGTATTTAGTATTTATAAAATGCGTTTTAATAATCTTTTATTAATTTGACCTTACGTGACGAAAGTCACGTTAAGGTAATTATCACGAGGATCACCTGACCTTTGTATTCATGTGAGTTTGGTGTAACATATAATTAGGTATATAGGTAACCCAGTGGGTGTTGAGAGAGTTAGTGTTTTGTTTCTTCGTTGACCGATTTCTATCTGGCTTTTAGTTGTTTTTTACTTGTGCAATAAATACAGTTAAACGTTAAACTTTAAAACTTTTTAAACTTTAAACTTTTAAACTTTAAATTGGAATACTTAAATATCGTGTTTTTTACATGTCGGAATCAAACCTTTCTAAAGCAGTTTTGGATGATATTTGTCGTGGTCTTGGTTTACCTACCGATGGTGTCAAAGCTGATTTAGTTCAAAGAATCAAGGATTATACTCTCGATGATGTACGCAAACAGCAGGTTGGGTCAAATGAAACTATTGCAGAGGAAATGAATCTGGAAGAGCAGTTACCGGACTCTCTTTCTGAGGGTTCGGGCACTTCTGGTTTAAACTTTCAAGCGCGTTCCTTGCAGCAGTTGGTTCAAAACACACGACAGAAAGGGAAAGCAGTGTTAGTGGAAACGGATGAACCTAGAAATAGCGTTTCGCGTGAACAGGAAACTCGAAACTTTTGTAACATCGATACAGAACAGGTACCACGACAGAGCCCTAATAAACGCAGATTGTTTGAGGGAGATGATGATAGTGCTATCGTTCTAGAAACTAGTTTGTTGCAGAGTTTTAGAAAAATTGAAAGTGCAATGTTGAAACTCAATGATAAATTAAATACGGTAGCAGACCAAGTACAAGATACGCGTCATAGGGTTGAAGTAAACGAAGCGTGGCCAATCCACAAGTTTGAAAAATCACGTGACCAGCATGAGTACAATGCCTTACGTTCGATTGGAAAAGAACTCGATCTAGCTGCAGAATCTAGAAGCGTGACAGAAGTTTTAGAACATATTGAACGAGCACGTGAAATTACTGCAAACAGAATGTTTACTCTTCGAGTTGCAGAAGGCTATGGTTGGGATATTGCCTCTGCGTTACCAAATACCCAAGATGATTGGTTGAGGAGCAGGGATGGGTTGAGT